CCTCCCTCCTTTCTCCTCCCTCCTCCCTTCCTCTCTCTCTCCCTCCCTCCTCCCTTCCTCTCTCTCTAAAATCAATAAAAACATCCTCTGTTGAGGAATTAAAAAAAAAAGTGAAGGTGGAATAGAGACAAAAAGCAAGAACCTGATGTCAGCAGAACTACAATAGAGGAAATACTAAAGGGTTTTCTTAAATCAGAAGAAAAGTATTTTGAAACATCAATACCGAAATACAAGAAGTAATGAATAACAATGGGAAGGGTAAATGGATGGGTAAAACTAAATAAGTACTATTATTTAACCCACTGTCTCTATTTGTAATTCATTGCCCAACAATGATTTTATAGGTAAGCCCTCCCACCCTAAGTCCAGGATCCAGGTAAGCCCTCCCACCCTAAGTCCAGGATCCAGGTGAAGATTACACATTGCATAGAGTTGTTCTTTTAATCTTTTAAAAGCTGAGATAATTTCTCTGTCTATCCGAAGCATGACATTTGGCGATTGTCCCCTCAGTGTGGATTTCTCTGATCAGTTATAATTAAATTTGACTTGTTTATTTTTGGCAGGATTACTACATAAGTGGTATTATGTTCTTGTCAGGACATCATTTCACAAGGCAAATGATATAATTTTTCTCTTTATTGGTGATGTTAACGTAGGTTTATTGATTATGGTGATTTTGCTATATTAATTCACTATAAAGTTATGACTTATTCCTTTGTGACAAAGTCATTTGTTGGAGATTATTTTGAAACTACATAGGTATTTTCATCAACAAAATGATTTTTTACAGAAGCAAAAGCATAGATACAGAGAACAGACTTATGGTTGCTAGAGGGTAGGGCATTTGGAGATTGGGTGAAAAAGGTGAAGGGATTGAAGTACAAATTGGTACTTACAAAATTGTCCCGGGGATATAAAGTATGGCATAGGGAATATAGTCAATAATATTGTAATAACTATGTATGGTGCCAGATTGGTACTGGAAATATCAGGGCGAACACTTTGTAAAATATACGATTGTCTAACTACTATGCTGTATACCTCAATCTAATATAAAATAATATTGAATGTAAACTGTAATTGAAATAAAATGTGTTTTCCAT